TAAACATGATGCGTTTTCAGATTGTCAACATAGATTTTTCAGTTCTTAAAGATGTCATGGATAAAAATAAGCATCTATTGGAATATTTGTAGATCATTCAAAAGCTTTCGACGTCACTGATCATAACATTTTACTTTCAAAATTACCATCGTATGGAATTTGTGATATTGCTCTAGATTGGTTATGTTCAGACTTTAAACAAGGATCTCAGAGTGTAGAAATACCGTGCTGTAATGATGGGACATTATATACACAACCCTTCTGATTCGTTGGCTGTACATGGAGTTCTCCATTGGTCGATTTTACGCCCTATTCTCTTCATACAATATCTAAACGATATACCCTAGACCAATAGAAACGGAAGAACAGTATATAACAACAACAACAATAATAATAATAATAATAATAATAATAATAATAATAATAATAATAATAATAATAATAATAAATTTGTCTTCATTAGTGGTAAGTCTCAGACCATTAGGCCTGCTCTTCCACCTAACCACGTTACATTTTTCTAATGCTATGAAGAAGATAGAAGGGGGCAGGAACTTATGTTTTACTTCTGAGAGAGCAAACTAGGGGCCATTCCGGCATATGCCTTAAGCGGTTGAGTAAACCCAGAAAACTTCAATCAGGATGACGGCTGAAGGCCGAGGAAATCTAAAAAACCATACGTTAATCAGAAGAAAAAGAAAAAAATGGTTTCAACAGCTCTTTGCGGATGATACGGATAGTCTTTGCAATAAAGAAACCGTAAAGATGTTTCAAATTGGTTCCGTAATAACAAATATAATTGAATAGTAAATGATAAGAAAGCAATTGCAATGCAATAAATAAAATACCGAGAAGCATAAACCATTTGCACACATAGTATTCTTTAAATAAAATTTGCACACATTCCAGCAAAAGCTAGACCGAAAAAAATATTTTATTCACATAAAATGTGACAGGAACGGAAAATAAGAAAGAATCAATCAATAACAGCCGTGCCAATTTTTAAACCCCTTTTTTTCTTATAACAATTTGTATGAAGCCTCTAAATAATTTTGAATTTTTTTAATAATAGCTTCGAAGACTTCTTTTTATTACATAAGTTTAAATAATTTTAACACTCCCTACATAAGTGGAGCTAGATAAATTTTCTTGAAACGTTTCGTATAAATACAGCAGTTTCCATTGAATTCCAAGTTTGGAATGTCATTTTCATTTAAACCTTAGAATTTTCTTAAGTTAAAGTTTAAAATGAAAGATTATTGTTTCTTCAAATCTTCTACGCTTCGTTTGATGAGGAGATTTTTCGACAGATGACTGAGGCATTCGTGTGTTTCATGAGACATTCGTGAAGCATTCGTGTTCGTTCGTAAACATTTTAATTGAGGTCAGTAATGCGGACTTCCATTTCGTTACTTTCCATTCCCTGCATTTTAAAACGAAACATTATCCACATTTATCATGAAGTGAATTATTTTAATAGAATACTGTAAAAATTATAAATAACATGTAGTTATTAATCGCATGTATTTCACACCTTTCAAATATTATTAAATCGAAAACATTTAATAGTAACAATTCAAATGAATTAAATTTTAAAATAAATTACTAAACTATCTTAAGATTTATATGTCGTTCAAGACGTTTTAGATATTTTTTTTAGATTACTAATTATTATATTACTACTTTTATGTACTAATTATTATATTATTTTATAGTTCTTACTTTAATTCATCTAGTAAAATTCAAACTATGAACTTACTAAATACATAATAATGTTTTAACACACCAAACCTTTGCGAAAAGCATGTCATTGAGTCGTGATGAACCGTAATCGAAGTATTTCCACACACTTTAATCTTCAGCGGCAATCGAAACTCTCTTGAAAGTGACTTGTAGAGAAATCTAGCGGCGAAATGTGGAACCAAAACGATCAACGTCCTCTCTCGAGAGAATTGTTTGGAACTCGCATCGAACAAGAAAATGTGTTGTTGCGCCTCATAGTTTAATATTACGCCTTATCTAGTTCATAATTGAAACATCATTACTGTTCACATTGAAAATGTTCTTTACTTAATGCCTCACCCTTAATTTCATAAGTCAAGTTAGACATTACCCCATCTTCTGTTAAAAGTAGATCACTCTCAAATTGATTTACCAGCAAAGGTAGCTAAGGAAATCAACTGATATCACTGCAATGCTTCTGACCGTGAGGTTCTGGGTTCGAGTACAACCGGTAGCAGGGTGGTCAACACTGGCTACACAGGTAGGTCGAATTCAGCCGCTGTCTGAAGGAGAATTCTAGCAGCCGGCTGTTCTGATTGTTAGTTTTCCGTGGTTTCTCCGATCACGACCAGGTGACTGTCGGAACAGTGTCCTAACAAACGGGCTATAGACCGCGCGCAATATCCCCCTCCTCTTCCTTGTCCTATAGTGACTCCTCCCTGACACACAGTCACAGCACTACATTATCACAGTTATCGGGAGACCAGTCAGGAGCTCAGGGCTTGTCACGGCTGGGGCGGTGCCACGCTGATGGGAGATACCTGACAGTCGACTATCCCCGCAAACGAACGCCAGCGAACGGTTGATTATCACCGCTACCTTCCGCGAAGAAAACATGCTTATGGGACGATTGACTTTAGCAGTTGACGCGCCAGGAATCCCTAGTCAATAAAATTGATGTCTTATTAGAAAATTAATTATGGATCACCGTGATTGAAAGTTTTTAACAAATATAAGTTATTTTTATTAGTTTACACATAAGAAAAAATAATGATGTTCTGTATTCATTAACATATTCCTGCACATGAAATTTTGTGAAATATTGAGTAAGCTGAGCTTGCATTTGTATATAACTTGTGGTTTTGTGGTATATAACCTCATATGCTAATTGTTCCATTTAAAATTGGTTCTGGTAATATATCGAAAAGCACGTATCGGATAAAAACAGATAATGAAAATAGTTTATTGTTTATTTAGTCAAAAACAATTTTTACTGTTTTTGACTAAATAAATCTAAATGAAATAAAGAATTTGTTTGATTTTACATGATGCCCTCATGTTATCCAAACATTGGTTTTCCGTGGAATTTTAATTTTCTTTTTTAAGGAGGAAAGCACGTATTAAAATGAAATGATAGTGTCGATAAAAACTAATTATATTTATTATTTGTATCAACAATATTGTAAACAGCGTTATATGTTCCTGCAGAGAGTAGTCAATGAATAACATTTTACTTTCAGTAAACAATCTAACCATACATGTGTTGTGTAATGTGTCGGTGTTCGCATTTTATTAATTAAAATTATTTGTGCATTGTGGTCACTGTAACCTAATTTTTCGTTTCAAATTCGTATCTAGTAGTGAGTTTTTTAATTATGATTTGACTAATGGTACCTTCCAAAACTGTAATAGTACGCCCAGAAATATCTTGTTTCCAAGGCCAAAAGAAACTACGTTTCTCTACGAACCAACTAAGAGAGTATAATGATGTGAAGAAAATTAATTACTGAGGCTAGAATAGCACATAATTTCTTGTATTATTGGTAGAGGTTACGTATTACACATTCCATCAAACAACCAACCATCTCCTGACAAGCGAAACATAAACCGCAAAAAATGATATTGTGCAATACGTGAAACAGAAACGATTTAAAATTCAAATATCGAAAAAAAATTCAATTAAAATAATGAAGTCATTATTGATGTATTCGTACGAGGGTGGCGAAAAAAGGTTGGACATTTGCAATTTTATGTTGCAACGGTTATAATGAAAATAGGACATATATAAAATTATTAAGGGAGTCTTGATGAATTCAAGTAACTGTTTCTTTGACTTCAAGCCAATTTTGAAAATCGTGAATCCTTTTTTAAATTATCGCGATTTCATTCAAACTTATACAAAAACTGTTCACATGTTCGAAAAATCGTGTCCTACATTATTTAAAGATTTAATTTTAAAAACACAAATTTGATTAGAAAAATGTGTCTATTGTAATTTGAAGTAGGTTGGAAGAGGGTCGAAAATCTTTTCAACTTTCGTGATTGTTGAAAATACAGTTGAGTGTACTCCAAAAATATTTTATTTAATATAGGTACTTTCTTAAATACAAAAGTTGTAGCGAACAAAATCAGCGTATCAGTATATTTCTCTTTTCAAGTTGGTTTTCCAATTAAGTCACTTCTGCCAATTTTTCAGTTTGATTAAAGTGCTACTTAAATTAAACATTTTCCTCCAAGTATCACTTTATTTCTGCGTAAATCAAAATGCCTATTGCGCTTAACTGAGGCACATGGATGACGCCCAAAGAGTAAGGCACGGAGGCAACGGCACTTGCCCTGAGACACAGGGACGATAAGGAACAAGGAAAGAGGCACTGGGACTGAGACACCAGGGTTGAAGCGCACGTTGCTATTGAAACGGGCTGGGGTGAAAAGTCTGAGAGACACATACAGAAACATTAGGTCTGAATCGAACGGTGGTTGAAAAACGTTGAGACGCAAATGCTACGGTGCAGAGGCTGAAGCCGACGAGCTGCGACATCAACTCTGAAGTGCAGGTGCTGTGGCACATGGTGTGAAGTACACGGTCTGAGCGACATGGTGCTGGGAGCGCAGTGCAGGGAGGGAGGTGGAGGGAATGAGGTGCAGAGAGTGGGGCGCAGGCACTGAGCCCTAGGAACTGAAGCCAAGGGACTGAGGTCTAGGGACTGAGACCTAAAAACTGAGGCCTATGTCATTAGGTACACGGTCTGAGCGACGTGGAGCAGAAGCTGAGGAGCAGGGTCTGAGGAGCAGAGACTGAATAGCAGAGACTGAATAGCAGAGACTGAGGAGCATGAACTGGGGTGTAGTGACTGAGGCGCACGAAGCAAAGCACCAGGGGTGCCAAAGTGGCGCAGGAGCTGAGGCTCGTGGGCAGAGACGTAAGGGCTGAACCCCAGAGATTGAGGCTCAGAGAAAGATGCGCAGGAGCTGAGACGCAGTCTGCCGGGCAGGCGTTAACATCCAGTGGTGGTGGTGGTGGTGTCTACCGACCCCCAGTCGCAGTCGAGGCGCTGCGCCCGGGGCAGCTCCAGGGTCTGCGCTCGAGCGCGCTCGCGCAGGGTGCGCAGCACCAGGCGGGCCGCCTGCGCAGCCCATGCGCAGCGCCCGGCGCTCAGCCACACCACTGCCAGCGCGCGCACAACGTCCACCAGCGTTGCCGCCATGTTGAACACGTAGATGCTGTGCATGATGCTGTCGTAGCGGATCAGCCAGTCGTCGTCCCACTTGGTCGGCCGCGTCGCCCACACCGATATTTCCAGCGCCAGCTCCGCTACGCCGGCTGTCAGCAGCAGCTTCGCGTAGAGCAGCGCACTGGGCACACAAAAGTTTGCATGACCAACGATTTGGGGCATTAGGAGAAGTGTTTTAGTTATTGACGTCATTTGGACGATTTGGAGAAAATCGTGGACACGATATAAGTTTGTAGTCGGGGGCGATCAACGATAATAATAATAATAATAATAATAATAATAATAATAATAATAATAATAATAATAATAATAATAGATTAAGGTATGCTAACATGGGTTCTGAAAGTAAATTTAAATTTTAAATTTAGATTAGGATTATTACAAGGGGTCAACTAACAAAATTCAATTGGAACTAGATAGCTGATGGGAAAACCGACCGTCGGTGGATAGTGGCTGTCATGACTCAAATACGAAGAGTCACCTCTAGCCCTCGTCTAAGGGAAAAACTTTAACTATAAAAAACTAAAAAATCAGAACATTTCAGTCAAGGAACGAGTCAGATGTAGAGATCTCTGGACATCTGATGGAAAATGTGCAGTACTTTCCAGCTTTTTCAAATGGTCAATCTGGGTTAAAAAGTGCAGAGTAGCTACAACAGAGGATTTCAACCTGAGTTTTGTGTCAAATGAGAAGCAGTGGATATTAAAAAAGTGAAGCATTGCATCGTTGCCAGTAGAGACGACCACCCCAAGTTCCTACGTGATGTCTCAGACTCAATCTGAGCTCGCTCAGAACTCTATCCTTCAGTACATCCAGCAAGGTATATTCACCAAACGAGTCTCTCCGGGAGCTGTAGCACCATCAGCGGATTATACTACATAAATAGCACTTTCGTCCTGTACATCATCCATTATACTGTAAATATCCGTCATACATTAATTTAGTTGTGTGACTGAGTTATCCGTTTTCTCCCATATACCAAGCAGAGTCTACCTCTGTGCCAGATTTGCACCCTCAACTATAAACATAAGAACATGTTGACCAGAGTAACCACGGAAAGCTAATAGAAAGTTTAAAAAAGTAGACAGACACGGAAAAGAAACTAAAACACACCAAGCAACATAAAAAATGCCGTTACCGAAAAGATACACTTGCTCTTTTGTAGGTGAAGAATGCAATTGGAAGAATCTGGCTACGTTTGTTCAAGAACTCCGTCTACGCAGAAAAGAAATTACAACACAGCCATATCCTGCATTTTGTAAAACTGAAATATTTCTTGTCTTACTCTTGCAAGCCTCCTTTGTTAGCTCCAGTGCAGGAACCTATGTTCTGTATCACAGCTGTTGCCTTCTTCCATTTCCAGATAATGAAGATGGTAAAGGCCAAACAGGCGGTGTTTGCCAAAGCCAGAACGGACATGGGAATGTAGTAATAGAAAATAGCTCCTATGTTTTTTCTTTCTGAAAAAAATCAAAACTTAAAGTTCAGTCGGAGAACAAGACCTGCGGCCTCACAATAAACTGAAATATTTTACACCGTTATTTTTATCCTTCTCACTTACACGTTCTCCTGTTGTACGTCACACATTTTAATTGCTTTTTACGATAAATAAATAAAAAATTCATATGTGTGCAGTGAACAACACGAACACTACATGAAGGTATTAAAACCTTTTAATAAGTAGTATTGATGACACTTGCATAGATAAACAGATGGTTCTAAATGACTGGGACAGAAGATACCACAGGTACTGTGTGGAATGTGATGACAAATGTCAGATATCGTTTTGCTGCGAAAATTCTCGTTTTCGATTAAATTTTACTTTTGTCGTTCCTGGCGGCGCAATTTAACGCTCCGATATCATACATAAAACAAAGCACGTTATAACATTGTCATTTCCTGTTTTTTGCAGGATGCGATAAGTTGTAGATTAAAGCGTATCTATGAGAAAATGGGCAGTCAGACATTGGCGTTAGTCACACTATTTAAAAAAATTATAAACAATATTCTTTTAATTTATTAGAAATAAACCATTAAAACACGTTGTTCTTAGGTGTTTTTATGTTTTGTTTGGCGAATTTGAATTCCTGTACTGTTGGGATGAAGTAATAGTCGTCATTGCCAACAAAATTCGTTACAATCATTAATTAGATCGCTGGTACCTTCTAATAATTAAATATAGTAAATTAAAGGTGTTACCTGGTAACAAAAATGTATTTTGCTAATGATCGCTTCGATCGTTTCGATCATTAGCAAAATAAAATGTTTGATACCAGAGAACACCTTTAATTTACCGTATTTTATTCATTATAATCTTTGTATTACTGCAACTAGGATTATCTACTTTGTAAAACTTGCCTAGAATAATTTATATCCAATCAGTATTTTATGAGTTCCTGACTTATAGTCACATTGTATGCAGATTCATTGTTTTGGTCTGTTTCATAGTTCAAATTTCCAGATATTTACGGCCTTTCTTTTTGTAGATGTACAAGTACTATTTCTTAGTTTTGTAATGCAGTGTTATCACGCAAATTATTTTTATACATACTCCCATCGTAGGTTTCTACACTGAGTTATGCTTTTATGAAAATTTGACATTGTCTGGAAGATAAATATTAACTCACATTTTTGTAGAAAATGCAAAAGCTGTACTTGAAGGAAACGAAAATAATACATTTGTTAATATGGATAAAATATAACAAGAGTCAGAAGAGCAAAACAAAAAAGTACGATGCATATTGTTCTATAAAATTTTTTGTACGGTCGTTATCGTGTCTTATAATAATAAAAATTAGTAACTTTATCACGTAACCTAATCAAGAATTTCGTTACCTAATTAGATATACAATATTTAATATTAGAAAATTGCTAATAATAACGTTAATCTATTTTAATTAACGAGTTATTATAAGTGGTAGAATATACTCACCGGCTTCGTATATCATGTAGGAAAAATAGAAATTCCCCGCGTTTTTCCGAAACGAAAACATTCTGAAAGCCGTATACGCTTTGGAAAATATTTAGGACCGATATTCACATTTCATACTTTCGCAAAGGATGTGAGTGATTTTCGCGTAAAACTCCTCTCACCCTGCATAACACCAAGAATGCGCTCGCTTTCTTCCGTATTAGTTAACAAATTATCGTCAATAGCCTCGAGAACTTTGATTTATTTAGTAAAAAACAAAAAAACTGTGACGTTTGCAGGAGAGGATCATCTGCGCACATTTTCTTGAATTCCAGAGTCCCTTCCCAATATTTTAACTTCTAATAGTTGCATCATGAATAAAAGTTTTTTAAACAAATAAACAAAGTAAATAAAATGAAATTTAAAAGAGGGCGAGATTAGCAATGTTTGAAAAACCAAACATTCTCGTTCCCGTGTTATTGAAAACTTGTTCACAACGTTAAACGAACTGCATATTTAATTTTTCTGCAATGCTAACAAAATAGTAACTCACCTTCAGCTGTACGCCTACCACTAAAAACAAAAGGAGAGTTCAACAAAACGTGCGCATAGTGAAGCTACATTTATCTCCAGAAGCAAAACAAGGGGCCATCTCAGCATCTTCACAATGTAACACGGAAACTAGACAAAAAACTGATCAAGATGCGGGTCATTGAGTCGTAATCATAAGTGAATTACTTGCTACAGTAAAATTAAGTTTATTATATTTTATATATTATGAGTTTATTATATTATATTTTTTAATTATACGATACAAATGTAAGCATTGTTTTGTGAAAATCAACATTAATTTGTTTTGGATGCTCGATTGTATAGAAACAGTTATGTAGCAAAAAATATTTTACTTTTAGCTTAAATTTGTGTACCAAATTTAATTGCTTAATGATATCTGGTAATGCGTTGTAAATTAACGTACATAATTTGTATGTGGATTTCTTGTAGTGATACTGACAGTCGATGAACGCGATTTCTATGACGTGTGTTGTAATTATAAATATTATTTTTGCATGAAAATATGTTTATACCGCTAAGTAAGTCACTTTTGACAAATATTAGAGATTTGTAAATAAATAGCCAAGACAACGCTCAATGAAATGAGACTTGCATATCACATGGATGGTATTTTTTTCTTTATTCGAATAATTTTCTTTTGCAATCTACAGGGTGAGCTTCCCAAGAATATTATTCCATATCTCAGGCGGGAATGTACATTTGCAAAATACACGCAATGAGCTGGATGAAGGCTGACAGAATTTAAAAGAATTTTGACTACGTAACATAATAAATTTAATTTAGTGTTTAGTTATGTTATATGCACATTCCATTTGAGGTTTGACTGAATTGAGAGACCTAAATATTTTGTTATCTAAAGTCAGACAATTGCATATTGTTAATTTTCAATGCAGCGTGCGATTGACGATTTGAAATTCAAAACTGCTTTAAAGCAGCTTTTTCTTTGCTAACTATTAATTTGTTGCTAGGAAACCATATTAAAATTTCTGAAATCGTACTATTTATAGTTTCTGTTTTGAAAGAACATTCTTGTCTGCGGCAAACAGAACCGTTCTTCTGTTTTCAATAGACGAGGGCATATCGTTTACGTATAACAGAAAGAGGATAGGACCGAAAACCGAACGTTGCGGAACCCAATGTTCAATTTGTAAAGAATTGGAAAGGTAAGTAAATAATGTTCTTTCGTGGCGGTACGGTATTTCTACTGTTTCAGATCGATCTTTAAGATACTTAACTTTAACTTTAGGTTCTTAACTTAACTTTATGTACTAACCAATTTTAAGGTAATTTAACTTCTTCCTTCAACATAGTAAAACGAAAGCGATGTCCCTCCTCAGTTCCGCGTGCGACCTGACAGCGTAACCATTTTCCAGAAGTCTTATGCCTATTCGTGAAAATAAGACATTGTCGGTTTGGGAACCGTATGAAATAAATTAATGCTGCGTCTCTGGCGTTGAATTCGCCGCTCCATATGAATCGGTGGTTTTAAAAGGGAAATAAATCATTTTTTTCCAAAAATGCTTGAGATATACATTTTCTTTGTTATTCTTTCAGCTACAGATCAGTGTAAAAATGAAACTTGTCCCTTTAAGTATATTTCTATTGCGAACTAAAAATTCCAATGATTGGAGAAGAGAAACAAGTCCAGATCTAATTTCTCATATATACTTATAGAGGGCACAGATAAATTTCTAGATTAATTGCGTGATCAGTCGTCCGGATTGCCGTGATCGTTAAGGCTGTCCTGTCGTAGCGATCTCGGACTGAAGGATCGCGGACATGGTTGAATTTGTGTTCGTACAGTCATTCCTTGTCATCATCATGTCATGCCATCTCCACAGTTACCATAACGTTCAATCCAATAGTGGTCGCTAATGACAGATGTTGATGCGACCTTAAATAACAAAAAAATTATAATTTACCGAAATTCTTTCGCAACAGTAATAACCATCAAGGACATCATAGACTTCAAAATCAGGTGGTCAAACTATCGAAAAATTTTAAGAAGACAAACAAGTCTCTTGCTCATCCTGGCAGTCCTCAATGTGAACCTGGTGTGACTTTCCAAGTTCAAGCAGCTAAAATATGTTACAAAACATGTTGGTTACCTCTCGGCACTTGAGCATATTGTTTGGCCTTCTCGATTACTCATTCATGTTGTCAAATGGGAATTCACGTCAAGATTTGTCTTTCTCGAAAATTTATGGCTCAGCTGTTCTTCCAGTCAACAGAAAAAATATCTGATTTTCATAAAATAGGAAACTATATCTTACAGGAATACTTCATTTCTACCAAAAATGTTTGACACAGCCACAGACTAAAATGGAAATTGATGATTAGTAGATGCTGTTATTATTCATTCAGTAAGAGTATTTTTCATGTCTATGTAGCACATAACGTTCATTCGCCTCATTATAGAGTTATTTTATGATCATATTGTTTCGTAAAACAGATGCCATAACAGATTCATACCAGATGCCAACTATGGATGTTATGAAGTTTTTTTCCCTCCAAACTACGAAAAACTAAACCTTTTCAAATCACCGATTCATATGCTGATGCGTATCCGTTTTTTCTATCGCTTCTTGCAATGGTGCAATTCCAAAAATTGATTTTCTTCGTATCCTCTCGTAGAAGTTAAACGACCACTTACATATGGTAATTGACATTGGTGTTTGTCACTTAATTAAAATCCTAGTTTGTCAACGTTTCGGAACTTTATTATTCCCTTTCAGAGCTATGGAGTACATAATTGCATTATTACTACACAGTTATTTTAAATTTTTAGATAGAATTATGTATTGTTTGTTCCATTGCCCTAATGAGGGAGCAATAAAGTTCTGAAACTTTGGCAAACTAGGATTTTATTTAAGTGTTCAACACTCATGAACTATTACCATAACTAATATTGTGGTCATGAATACAAAAAATGTTCACCTAACACTTCATGATATTTGACTTCAGATCTTCAACTGA